CGCCTCTCTACAGGTGTGTGCATTTATGCTATCTTTCTTTTAAGGGTTGTTAACTAATGTTGCACATCGCAACTTTTGTGATACACATCTTTGTTTGCAATGAGGGTCCCAACGATGCTGTCTGATAGATCAAAATCCCCGTCCCACCCCAGCTCCAGGAGGAAGAGCTTCGGAGCTATCTTCAGGCCTTTTTTTTAATGAGATAAGATTACCAGCAATTGAAATCAAAATCGGTTTCTGATTGAAGTAAAGAAATCTTGTTAGACATTAAACTGTTCAGAATCATCAAATTTAGTGGGGTAGAGCATGTTTTAAAACTTTAAATACTTCACTTTCAGGTTGTTGAGTTATTGGGCAATATTTAATTTTCCACTCTCGCAATCGGGGGGGGGTACCAATGGCATAAAATGGAGACAAATGGCATAAAAATCGTCAAATGGCATAGAAATTTCATGGCATAAATGGAAATTTAGCTTGGCCAATTCTCCATTTATGCCAATTTATGCCATTAATTTAGGTCTTCATATTTGACCTTTAGGATGACTTTAGATTCGCAAATACTATTAGTACTTGAATGTGACATGAGACATGTTTCATGCTTTATAACGCTTGGAATGATCGTTAACGTCAAAGATTCATATGACAAATAACTAAATAAAGAAAATAGAAATGTATTATATCAAATATATACCAAACATTTCACTATTCAAGAATACAAACATTGACAACACAACGATTTTGAATGTCATCAAGGAACAATGCATCTGATGTATTTGTCTTCGACGAGTAGCCATACATTAGGAGATCCATTGATTAGGCTATGTTCCTGGCAGTAGTACTTCATCGGGCATGATTATAAGAAATAAATCTAACCACTCCTGTTGCAAAGTTCTGCTGAGATTTGAAGACTTTAAGAGTTTCTGTACTGCCAGCTTTCAAAACTGTTGAACATCCGCATTCAGGTTGATTGTATATATGCGAACATCAGAAGACACTCCAAACGCGTCCCCCTTGAATCTTGAAAGACGAGATTTTGTTGATAAAGTGCTTCTTCCTCCATTGAGCGTGAGTGTCTCAAAAGACCGGAAGGATAGTGTTCCATATTTATCTGTTGATATTGTTTCTCCATCATCACAATCATCAACTCCAGGTTCTACCTCATAAGCTAAGTCGTCCTCATACTCGAGGCATCCAGCTTCATCATCTACAGCTTCCCAAGAAAGTTCTTGGCCATGGACGATTGGCTTCCCACTCCGTTCTTCAGGATCTGCGACTGCGGCGAACACAGGGAAATTGTTTCTTTTCCCTTCTCGAATGCAGTCCCTCGATGCCCTGTCCAGCGTTTTTGCCAACTTGCCTAGGCTTATCATACCACCAGTCCATTTCACAATTCACTCGTTCTGCTTTCTGGCCTGTAGATTTAACCTTTTTGAGGTGAACTGTAGGATGCAAAACTGTACTTCCCCGGCATGTGCAATTGCAGATGTGTCTTCATGTAATGATAAAGCACTGTACACATTCTTTCTCTCCATTCCATGGGCCATAGTTATCGCATCCATATTTCTTGAGCGACCAGATGAAAAGAAACCCGAATAAATGCAAACAGTTGCTCATTCTGATCACTTCCAAGGTAATAAGTGACGATTTCAGCATTAGGGAATTGCTTCTTCAGCAGAGTTAAATACAAAACAAGACCGTCACAAGTACATATAAGATCAAGGTACGTCTGATTCGTTATGCTGACAGCTGAGTAAGTATTCTCTTTCCAAGTAACGAAAAATGTTTTTTCTCAAACTGTTCCATTTTTATTATACTTTATAGTTTAGAGTCTAATTTGGCATGATATCAGATCATGTGATATTACATGGCCCAATCCCCATGGAGAGCATTGCCAGAGCAGTTGGCCAGAGAGCTCCATAGAAGTAAGGGGCCTACTCTAGCCAACAGCTCTAATACATTTCCTTCCTCAACTTCATTTTCTTCATCTAACTGCTGCTGCTGCTCAGCAACTACTTGACAGCTGGCACAGTGACAATTGTCTGCGTAGTGTATCTGTTAGCCTCAATTTTGCCTCAAGGAGGGAAGGTAGCCTCAATCCAACCTCACATAAGTTTCGATAAAGTCTCAATAACCTTCGGGCTACAATTACAAGTTTTATAGTGGGTCTATAACATTTTTCCGTACATTAAAGTTAAAACTTAAAATGCGGTGTTGACACATTAGATAGTCACAATACCGAACATGCTCGAAAATATACACAAAAGTATACTTGTTAGCCTCATTTCACCCTCTCACAAGGTGGTTAGCCTCATTTTCACCTCGAATATTTGAAGCTTAAATACCGATTAAATATAATCCCAAGGAATTGCATGTGCAACATGGATATCAAGTAACGTGTGAGCTGTTAACCTGTTTCCGTACATTAAAGTTAAAATGCGGTCGAATTATTTATTAGCCTCATTTTGGCCTCCTACAAGTAGACTCAGCGATTTCTGAAATGTTGAGTTTGAAGAGGATGAATCAATCTTTATTGTTGACATATTAGATAGTCACAATACCGAACCAACTCGAAAATATAAACAAAAGTATACTTGTTAGCCTCATTTCACCCTCTCAAAAGGTGGTTAGCCTCATTTTCACCTTTTTTTTATTTTTTATCAAGACACTTATTTTACTTCGGAGTATTCCAACAGCCACATTGTTACACAAGTGCAACCAGCCAATTACAGGAAGCCGAAGGATTTGTTTTTTTTAGCCAGTGACGGTTAAGGTAGTGTGTACCATACTTTCTTCGCCCGAGACTTTGCTGCAATGTGCAGCTCCTCATTTAACCCTCACACCCGATTTCTCGAGTATTCGGCTGAGTAGACCGGGGGGCTGCATAGACCACTCAGGATCCTTAGCTGAACGTCAACGACCCCCAAAGCTTAGATCTCGATCAAGTATAATCACTATGGATTATACTTGCAACTTGGATATCATGGACGTAACATGAGAAAGTTCTTTTTTGAAAGTGGTGAGGCTAATTTGTTAGCCTCAATTGTCCCTCGCAGTTAAATCACTCCTACTGAGTCTAGTGAGTGAGCTTGGAGGTCGCCGAACATCTCATTTTAAAGCCGTATCGATTTTCTATACGCATACCAAAAATCAAATGCGTAACTAAAACAGAAATGAAATTACAGAAGTTTTAAATTTTTTGTCAAAAAACGAACTTTTAGGGGTGTTTCTAATGACCAGGGTCAGTACAACAAATAGAGATAAAGGTGGACAGTACTAGTGGGGTGCAGACTATTCGTTATTAAATTCTCAGTTCAAAGTTTTAAAATTTCATATTTCGAATGGCATAAAATGGAGACAAATGGCATAAAAATCGTCAAATGGCATAGAAATTTCATGGCATAAATGGAAATTTTGCTTGGCCAATTCTCCATTATGCCAATTATGCCATTGGTACCCCCCTCGCAATCAATATAACTATTTGCTAAATTTCACACAAGCTTAGATATCATCAAGAGTATGACGTGACAAAGTAAACTTATTTGTGCCTTCTGTGTGTTATATGCTTGCGACTGTATGATATTATAATAATTCCCAGCACTTCCAGGTCATCAAGTAATCCTACACTATTCGTCAATTCAGCATTCCTTGTCAGGGTGCCCTAAACATTCCTCATTATATATTTTCTTAAATTGCAACAGCTGCATTCCTTCAATAATCTGTTGATTTATTTTATTTTCAAGATTTATTGTACAATTATTGTGCTTTACCCGTGTTTTCTATTCTAATCAAAAGTAAATCAATTGGACAATAAGGTTGAAATGAGTAAAATAGTAATAAAAGATATTGGAAATTAAATATCTGCTGGTATGCTCTCATAAATGAGGAGGCAATTTCTGCGAGTATCCTTCTTCTGCCACCCCTCCAGGTAGTAAAACTCCTTGGTCTTTAGTCCAACTCCGTCCAGGTTCTTGGCGAACACGACGTGACAGAATATTACATCGTCCTTTTTCATTGCCAGGACCATTTCTTTCGTGGGGGCTCTCTTCGGATTATCTCTAAAAGCATTATAGACGTTCTGATATTGTGACTGGTAGCGGGGTAGACCATTTCTTAGCAGAACCTCGCCGATATCTTTCATCGGAACAGAGTTCCTACCATTGTGTTTTAGGATACCTTCATTGAACTGTGCAATTAGTTTCTGACCGTCTTCTTTCCTTTTCATTCTATCTCCTTCGAGAAGTCTCGGTGGTCCTACATTCTCTTTGATAACAGTAATAATCAGGGGAGTTTTTGTGGGTGTCTTTCTGACTAAAGGTTTCTTCAGGGGATTTGAGCTTCCTGAGCTTGTACTTGGTCGTTCTGCCTTGATAGAAATTTTCGATTTCTCAACTCTTTTCTTATCACAACCCTGGCGCGTGGGGACACGTTTTTGCTAGTAGTTGGCGACGTTATTTTACGGGTATCGAATCTCGCGACTTCAACGAAGTCCTGGGGACAAGTTTTCAATAATTGATAATATTTTCAGCCCCTATCGTTCTAAGCATCGTTAGGGCTTTCCCAGAAACTAACTCTCATCATCCTAGGATAATCGTGTGTCGCACAGCACTTGTTTCAGTAACGATAGTAGTCGCCTTAACGACAGAATGACGTGTACGTTTCGGTCACCTGTGAAAAAAGTAGGTGAGATATCAAGAATCTGAGAAAAACCCGTTGGATAAAAGCCTTTTAGGTAGGTGCTAGTCAAGATTTCATCTCTTTAGACCTTAAGACGGCTTCTAACACCTCGTAAAAACTTTTAAAAAGTAAAATTCGCCCGCGACTTACAAAAAGCAACATAAACGTGTCCCCAAAAATCTTTGGGGACACGTTGAGTCGAGCGCTTGAGGAGCGCGCTTGTTTCCAGCTAGCCAAGTAGCTACAAACTTATATTATACTAACCACGGAAACTGAAATTGTGGATATTTCGGTTCTCGTTGTGATAGGACTAGTTTGGTCATACATAACAATGGCACACAGTTAATTACTGTGAGATAATAAAAATAAACTACATTATATAACTGTAATATAACGAGTAAAATGTAGTTATTACGAAGTGTATTGTACTTATCATGAAGGTTGCCGAGACATAAAGGCGGTGTTTTGATTTCCTTGGAAGGAATTCAATGTATCGGTAAATATGTATGTGGTAAACAACACTTTCTTAAAAACTCTAGTTAACTGGGGGACCACATAATACACCCGGCGTGAGCCGTGAGTGTATACTGTGAAATAAGAGCGCTGTTTGTTTTCTCTGTGTGACAGAAGTGAACAAATGATCACGATCTTGTAATTAATTATAAACTCTCCGACGAAATTTTTATAAAACACGGAAACATTGTTTCTTGATTACCGTCAGCAGTTGTATACCAGTTGTATACCAGCAGTTGTATACATAGAGTCTTATACAATACACAACATTAAAAGAATAATCCCCTCCACATTGTTAAATCCTTAGCTAAAGTTTTGAGAATCTGCACTCATCAACTTTATATTTCCCCACGTCCCTAACACCCTTGTAACCCCGGGGACCAGCATGCCGATCGTAAGGTCTGACTTCTTTAGCTCTTCCGGATGGTTTCGATGAGTCCCATACTGATGGCTTTAGCTTCTCACACTGGTCGTCTCCAACTGTCACTTCGGAGTAAATTGTGGAGGTAGGACGGTATAGGTTCCTGGTCGTTGAAGAAATTCAAATATCAATTGATTAACATTAATTTAATACGACAGTTAGACATTCTTAGTTTACAATGATTCATAGGGTCTGTAGTCTTTACCTACCCATGAAGGTATTCAAAAGAAATTGACCTGTTTTATAATAGGTTATTGTAATGTTACTTCACCAACCTAGCGACATTTGATGTACTTTTCAGGACCTGCAGAGTCTGAAGGGTGCTTAGTCCCTGTGATAGCACTGAGTACTGGGTAGGAGCGGGAGGTTAGTCGTCGTTCTGTCACCTTGAACATAAAATATTTTATAAATAAAAATGGACAGGATAAATTAATTGTACTTCAGGATATCGAGAAATTGTCCTAGGATATAGTTCAAGTGGTATATTGTATACAAAAATGACTTGGACAAAAATTTGTGGACAAGTGTGTTTAAAATATTTATGAAGGAGCAAAGAATCAATGTTCCATTCAAGGTAGCCTGACCACTGTTTGATAAACTTGTTTTTGTGTGAGTTGTTTTGTGGTATCCGGTAAAATCGATCTCTGGAATTATAGAACCAGTCATTTTAATACAAGTTAATGGTTCGTAAACAGTCCAAGAGCATATTTTACAATTTATAAGAAGCAACTTATGATCAAGGTAGTAAAATTATCAAAAAACGTCCACTGAAACTCACTCACTAACACATTCATGTATGCACTCAAACATACTCACACACAAAAACTCCTATCTACAATCACACACGCAAAATTATTGGGTTATTGAGCTGTTTAAATTTGAGTAATAAAATAACACAAAATTAGTTACTAAAAGCTAAAAACTAATATAGTTGCAGGGCACGCTCATATAGTTAGAAAATCTTACCTCATCGCTTAGGAGGCTTAGTTGGTGTTATGTCATGTGTTGTCTAGTGTAGTAGACGCAGCATAGTAGTAGGTAAAGTTCAGGTCGGATAACTTCCTTCATTCAGTTGGCTCAGCTACCTGCAAAGTTTTACGATTTTTGAACTGAAAGATGCTGATAAATGAATGAAATTACAAATTGATGCTTATCTTATTTTATAATTCATCTGCTCACGAATCTAGGAAGTTTATAATAATATTTAACGGTTGAGCCGGTTAAATTATTGACATGAGAAAATAATTTTATAAAGGAGCGAAGGAACAGTTGAAAAAAACTGTGCATCCTTTTTTGTCTTTTGATCGATCAAGTATTTACCTAGATGGCCTGCTCGTGCTGTTTCTCCACGTGCCTTTTCAGATGGTCAGCTGTGGATTGGTGAATATAAAAAACACTGACGGAGGGAAATGATTTAATTCCATAATAAGTTATAACATTTTGAATATTGGTCAAAGATGATAATTGGTGATGCTCCTAAAAGTAGGCACAGACCTCGCTTAGATTTGTAGTTGCAAAATGGGCAGGCAATAGTCCGTTTCGGGTGAACTCTAAGCACATGTCGATTCCGTGCCTTTTTCGTCGGATACCCCTTGTGACAAATCTCACAATGGAACTCTTCGTTTCCGTGGTGACGTAGCTTGTGCTGAAATAATGTGGCATTCTATGATTTTCGAAAATTATTCTACCAAGCAAAGAATTAAACATGTCATTAGTCGGGTTAACCTATTTCAATCGCTGTTATGTAATATATAACTAATAAAAATTAAGAATTATTTTAAGAGCCTATCACAGAGCATGAAAATTTCCCGCTCAAGAAGTTTTACTCGTAAAACTTCATTGCACTACACTCCTACATTATTGGAGATTCTTCGTCAGTAATGTTGAGTAATCAAGGAAATTTAACCACTTTGAAGTTTGAAAATCATAGATGTCTGAGAAGAATCCTGAAAATCAAATGGTTTTATCATGTATCTAATAATGACGTACTTAAGCTGGCTAACATCGCCCCTGTTAATACTTTCGTACGAGCAGCTAGGCTCCAATGGTTTGGCCATGTGATGAGGATGCCAGAAGAAAGAATACCCAACTATCTTCTGCACTGGATCCCAAAGCATGGTAAAAGGTCAAGAGGTAGACCTCGGAAAAACTGGTTGTCATGTGTCCGGGAGGATACAGCAATCTTCACAGGTGTCGATAACATCACGATAGAAGATGCAGAACAACAAGCTACAGACAGGGTTCACTGGAGAGGTCTAATACACCGGAGAAAAGAGTTACTATGTGGTGCAGGCCACTCCAACGACTAGGAGGAGTTCAAGTAAGTAAATAAGAAGTTTGAACTAAGATGTAATAAGGGTATAACTGTTAAATTCCTTAAATTAGTTTCAGTGGGCAAAATATAAACAATTAGGTAAATCTAAATTGCTCCATATCATATAATAAATGTTTTTGAATAATAGTATGCCCTTATTTAGGCAAACTCGCCAATTTTGAACGATTTCAGTGCATTAAATGATATCTTATCGATATTTTGATGAAAATGAACTTGATCTAAAAGATATATTATTTATTTATTTATTAATTTATTAATTTATCACAAATTATTTTATTATAATATAACCACTTATGTGAAATGGTTATTTTGACTTTAAATATTTGAACTAAATATGAATTGATTGTGGGTATAAAATAAAATTTGTTTTACTAAAAAAAAAAATTTGTTTTACTATACCTAAACTAAACATTCTCTGCGATTATTACAGCTCAATAACTGCTCGAATGTTTATGTTTTGCGACTAAAATACATCCGGCGTTTTTGAAAATCGGCCACCAAATTTTTTTTGAGGCCTAAATGAAAATTTTGATCACTTACGTAAGGTTGAAATGTAATTATACATCGATTCTGAAAATTTCAAGCGAAAATATCAATCGGCAGTAAAGTTATGTTCTTTTTGGGGAATCGCTTTCTAAAATTCCGTTTTTAGCATGCTTTTATAGGAAGTAAGTCCAGCTACTTCTTCCTATCACATATAATTTATCTCAGAAAAGGCAGTAAGTCCACGGAATTGCTTCCTTATCTCAGAAAATTTTCAAGATTTTCTCAGAAAAGGCAGTAAGTCCGGACTTACGTCCTTCTCTCAGAAAATAATTGGCCAAAACCGAACATAATGTTTCTCAACTGGGACTTACTTCCTTAGGAATTGCATGCAACAATGTTTCTATACATTAATATGTAGCTCATGTGTAGAGAATTTTCTACTGAAAATTTTGATACCAATATTGTCATATTTCGAAAAATTGGACTTACTGCCTTTTCTGAGAAAACGGCAGTTATTATCCGAGGGGTTGGTGACGTGACAGGGGTAGTGACAGGAGTAGGTCGTGCCTTGGTAAACTTGAACAATTGTATGTTTACCGATATGCTGACAATGCTACTTTCATCACTTCATATAATCTCCTGCTAGGTTTTATTCTATAATTGGCTTTAAATGTGCAGTCAATCACTGATTTACTAAGTTCACAAACAAACTTTGCACATACTTCTTAGATCTGCTTCCATGTTGGTTCTTTCGGCCTGATGGAAGGCACGCTATTTGTCTCCTTAATCTGTTCAATAAATCTTTTTGATGTAGCAATCATTTCCTCACCGAGCTCAGCATTAATATTATGCCTCACAGCTTTTGCTTTTTGTCTACGTGATAGCTGAGAAACGTTTTTCTTATTAAGTACAGAGTTTCTTTTCAGCTTCTGTTTGGTAAGTCTGCTGGATCTGCTCTTTTTGTTCAGTTTCGAACACTTTTCATCTTTCATCGCCGTCGGGACTGCGTTACTTCTTCTTTTCACATTCGTTTTAGCACTATAAGGTGCAGGAGATTTAGTAATAATCTTGATTGTTGAAGTAGATGGAGTACTGAGTAGAAAGTAACTCCTCATCAAAGGTAGACTTTTTCCGTGAACGACCCATGGTTTTGCTAAAGGGGACAGATATGATTGTTAGTCGGTAATGTATTATATATAAATTGTCTCCTTCATCCCCATTTTGAGAGAAAGGAGAAAGGTACAAATTGGGAGGGGGGATCTTTCCTCTGAGGTTTCTAGGCGATATATAGGTAGCTATTTCTGTACTTAAATATGACAAGAAATCGATTGGTGGTGGTCCCAGAACCCCAAAATGGTTTCTTGTTCCAAACAAGAATCGTTTCGTCCCAGAACCCCAAAATGGTTTCTTGTTCCAAACAAGAATCGTTTCGTCCAAAGATGAACACATTGTCGTATCAAATCTTGTTCACCACGGTCCACAATTGAAAGAGGTACGGTTGGTAATTACAATTGTAACAAATAGCGAACGCTTTAGTATGGGCAACTAAGAATTCAGAATAATATCTATATTATATTTTAAACTTGACGAAATTTCCCCGGCAACGGGGACATAGAAGAAAAAACACCGAATATCGACCTCAAAATGACCCTCTGGTGAAATCAAACCCAGCTCGCAAATGGAGTTGAAACCTCGCCATTTTTAGCAGGGTTGTAGAAAAAGGATAGGAATAGGCTATAGCATTCTTAGAATTTTGATTTAGGCTTTAGATTTTTTATAATTAACGTCGGAAGTGAGGTTAAATAATCGTTAGAATAATGGCGTTATTTTAGCAAAGGTTTACTGCGCTGTTGCGTAGCAACGATAAAAATGCACGTGCGCGAGCAACCACAGATTAACAACGCGCGTTGTTATGCTGTATGCTACGTCATAATTTCAAAACTAGCTCACATTTACGCTCACGCTATGACTTATATTCATAACTTTGGTTGTAATTGGTATTTTTTGATGCGGTAAAAAGTATCGTTTTGGGAATCCGAATACTAACAACGCTGTCGCCATTGTTAAATAAATTCCATTATGTCTACTGTATAACAGAGCTGTATGATGAAGAGAAATTAAAACATAACTGATTTTTAAAATTTCCTCGAACAAAGCTTTCGACTAGCGGGTTTCTAGTATTATATATAATAAAGGTCTAAGTGGGAGTCTTAAAAAACATAATCTTTCTCAAAAACAAGATCCGCTGTGTTCATTCTTCTCCATGGGGCTCATTGACTCAGTTGGATTCTGATCATGCTCACCATGAGTATAACCCTAAACTGCACAATGAGAACAAAACAAATTCAATAACGTTTTGAGTTTCACAGCTCTACTTTTCGTGCTCTACACTTGAAGCAGTTGGTTTTACGAGCAAAGTTATTTGCCCCACATCGAGGACAACGCAAGTCGCCAGGCAACTTGTCCAAGCTTTCTCCCTTTGCTTTATCCTCTCCACACCGGGGGCACTTGTTGGAGGT